GTGCGCGAAATGCAGGCGAGAGTGCGATTCGCCGGGTGCCCGCGCAAAAACTCCACCAGTTGTAACTGGACCTTTGTCACTTGTAAGTGTGCCCTTTGGGGCTCTGGAAGTTGCGGGTTTGGAAGGTTTTGTGTGGTGGGTGGGTGGGTGGGTGGGTGGGTAAATAGGTTGGGTGGGTAAATATCCTTGGCATTGGTTGGAGAATGGAATAATGGCACCAGCAACCCAGTTTCAGAAGACTCTCATAACTTAATGCCATACAGTGTGAGAGTGTCACCAGTTTTTGAATATGTCTTTTTGGCCAGTGGAAGTGTCACCCGCTTTTTGTTTAATTTTTTTTGGCCGGAAAGTGTCACCAGCTTTTTGAATTTTGTATTGTAAGAGTGTCACCAGTTCTTTATTCATCAGTTTTGCTTAGATCAAATGCAAATCTGAGATATCGGATGTATTTTTTGCATATTTGCCACAAACAATGTCTCGACTTCTTGAATATATTATGTTCCTTTTTGCCAAAGCACTGTGAGAGTGCCACTGCAAGCTCCTTTGTTCCGTCTGGTAGTTAGTTTGGGTCAGAACCTGGTTCATTGCCAGACCTGGGGCTCAGAGTCTATGACACTGTGAAAGTGTCATGTTTGAAACTGTTCATTCAGCAATGTAATTTTGGACACTGTGAGAGTGTCAGAAACAGTTGACCACAGACTTACTTTACTGAACTTACTTGCTTTGAAAGTGATAGGTGGCACCAAGTGTGTGCGTTCAACTCCCCTCAGTCCAGGTTCAATGTTTCCTATATTCAACTTTGTATATTCAGAACAAGTATCACAGGAACCTCGATTTTTGGTAGCTTCATGCAGTTGAACTTGTTTTCAATACACATCATCCAGAATGAACACATCAGACCTTGCATACGCTGCCATAGTTTTGCGCCATGGCCCACAGCCTGGAGGAGCCTGCCGTTTGGGACCTCAGATCATTCTCATGGGGGGACACTGTGAAAGTGTCACAGGACACTGTGAGAGTGTCACAGGACACTGTGAGAGTGTCATCTCAAGGCAGGTGGCCTTGTTTTTGAAGACTTGGAAGTTGTGTTGGTGCCATGGTGTTGTGCCGCCCTGAGTTTTCAAGGATGGACACGGTCCACCTTACAAGGGTCAAAAACATGTCAAAAGTAGAACATAGTAGGCATTCCAACAAATAGACCAGAAATACCATGAATCATACCAAGAAAGGCAAAACATAGACCTGGACCTACCGGCCATCAATCTGTGCCAGCATGCCCTGGAGCTACGGTCCTTCCCAGCAGCGCAGGGAGAATCGTTTGTGGAGAGATCTCAAAGAGGAGAACAGGCTGCTGCTCGAACACAATGAGAAATTGAAGGACGAAAACTCAGTCCTGAAGGCCCAAACTGATCAATGGGAGGCACAAGCAGGGCCTATTATCCGTCAAAGGAATGAGCTCCAGGCGGATTTGGCCAGCATGACGGAGGGGTTCCTGCAGCAGCGACAACTGGCTCAACAGCTGTCATGCGAAGTGGGACAGCTGGCCCAAGAGAAAGTGGATTGGCAGAGCCGTTCCGCGTTTCACACTCAGGAGCGGCAACTCCTGCAGGGCCAATTGGCAGCCCTGCGGGGCGAGGTTGCAGAGAAGCAGGTGCAAATTGAGCAGAGCGCCAGAGAGAACAACGCCTTGACCTTACAGCAGAAGCAGATGCTGTTACAGCAGCAGCAGTTGCAAAACCAATTGGTTCTCCCGCAGCACGAGATCGCAATGCTGAAGGACAGGCTGAAGGGCCAGGCATGGGATGAGCCCGAACCTGACCAGGCCGAACATGACCAGGCTGCCAATCAGGAAAAACTCGATGCCAAGTCGAATGAGAAGGCCAAGGAGAATAAGGCCCAGAAGACTGAGAGTGAGGCCAAGCAGAATGAGTCTGAGGCCCAGCTGACCCAGAGTAAGGCCAAGAAGAATGAGGCCAAGCAGAATGAGGCCCAGCAGAGTCCCCCCAAGAAGAATCAGCTCGAGAAGAATGAGGCCCTGCAGAGTGAGGCCAAGAAGAATGAGGCCAAGAGTGAGGCCAAGAAGAACCAGGCCAAGAGTGAGGCCAAGAAGAATGAGGCCCTGCAGAGTCCCCCCAAGAAGAATCAGCCCGAGAAGGATGAGGCCCGGCAGAGTGAGGCCAAGAAGAACAAGGCCAAGAGTGAGGCCAAGCAGAATGAGGGCAAGAAGGACGAGGCCAAGAGTGAGGCCAAGCAGAATGAGGCCAAGCAGAATGAGGCCAAGCAGAATGAGGCCAAGAAGGAGAGTGAGGCCCCACCGAGTCAGGCCAAGAATGAGGCCCTGCCAAGTGAGGCCAAGCAGAATGAGGCCCAGAAGGATGATGTCCAGAAAAAGAAGAGGAAAGCAGAGAAGAACAAGAAGGACAGGAAGGCCTGTAAGGACCAGGCCAGGAAGGCACCTGACCACGACAAGATGGAAGATGCAGGCCAGGTGTCCGATGCCAATCAAATGGACTTGGGGGAATCCAAACCAAAAAGGAGCAAGTACATCACAGTACGGCTGCCAGTTGTCGAGGTCAAAGAAGAGACCAGGACTGACGATGACACCTAGGCCTGTGGCGCAATTTAAAATTGTGGCCTGTTGTTGGAAAAAGGTGCCAGTTTGCACGTTGCAATCGGTACTCTTGGTTGACATGTCATTGTGACCCTCGGAAATATTTGGAGGCACTGTGAGAGTGCCCTATATTTGAGGCACTGTGAAAGTGCTGACTGATAGACAGTTGTCACTGCAATTGTGCCCAGGTCTGCCACTTGACCTGCAAGGCCTGGACCCGTGGGCGAGTTGTGTCTTGCTCTCGAAAGCAAACTTTGTGTTCTTTCTCATTATATAGATGTAGTTTGTTCAAATTGCCATACTTTTGCGGGGGCCCTCATGGCAATGGTTCCTACATGACATGCTGAACGCTAACATCCTCTCCAACTTCACATTCAATGCTCCTGGCACTGTGAAAGTGCCCTAATGCTCCTGGCACTGTGAGAGTGCCCTAAGCCTATAACAAGTTTTGTCCTGTTCTTAAAAACCTTTTGTGTTCGATCTCATTATATCATCTGGTACATTTGTTCAAATTGCAGCAATTTTGGGGCCCGCATGGTTCCAATATGATGATGGTGCAACAAACAAGCTGACCACATCTGACCACTAACACCCTCTCCACTTACTTCACATTCGAAAGCGGAACCACTAAAGTTTAACGCCACTTGACAACCGCTGCTAGCTATTCAATGTCAAAGCTACTATTCACTAGCTACTGTCACTCACTCACTCACTCACTCACTCATTCACTCACTCACTCACTCACTCACTCACTCACATTCAACATCATTCTCACAAGCTACTGTTCAACCAGATCCGCCTTTGACCGAGCGATGGTGCGCATTTCGGTCTTCAAGTACTACCATCATGCGAGTGCTCGGCGGCATGAATGGGTCTTCCTGGCCCATGATGGAGTAGGACCTGCTGCAGCGAGGAAAGGCCTGATCATTTTCCAGCGCCAGACCAGGCAGAAGCACATTGCCATCGGAAGCTGCGGGCGTTGGACATGCGAGGATGTTGGGGATGGTCCACGAACCATTGAGTTCAAGAACTTCGCTTGCGATGATGCCCCCAACATCAACAGGCATGAGCTCCTTTGGCAATGTGTTGGTGCCTTCAGCGACGGTCGCAGTGTGACTTGGCTGCCTGTTTGGGTTGGGGTGGGGGGTGACACTGTGAGAGTGTCATGACACTGTGAGAGTGTCAAGAAATGACACTGTGAGAGTGTCAAGAAATGACACTGTGAGAGTGTCAAGAAATGACACTGTGAGAGTGTCAAGAAATGACACTGTGAGAGTGTCAGGGAATGACACTGTGATTGTGCATTGTGTGTTTTTTCACTGAGACCTGGACCTCCTACGAGATGGGCCGGAACAAGATCCAGCAGCGCACCATGCAGTACATCGGCTGGCTGGTGAAGGAGGACCCCTGGAGGATGGAGCCCTTTCTCGGGCCATGGCAGCAAGATATCCACGCTCCGGTCCCACATGGTGCAAGTGTACTGCGGCATTTGCCGTGTCTGGACTCCCACCCCGAGCTGCGCCAGCTGACGAACGATGAGGAGCCGGACCTGGAGTGGACATTAGTGGACCAGCAATAGATGGCCTTTTGGTTCATTGCTGATGAGCACAGGCGCACAAAAACACATAGCCACTGAATGAATAAATGTCGATTGTCTTATGTTCCAAAAGGCCCTTCGGACCATGTTGGACTTGAATTTTGGCACAGCCAAGCACATCGCGAATTGCTGTTGCAGCTGTAATTGGATCAAAACGATCCTGACAGAGTATCAAATAGTTGGCTGTCAATTGTGGCAGCCAATGCCAAGCAAACAGCTGCTGGCCTGACAACACGTACTGGACCTTGGAAAAGGACCGATGACCACTGTGAAATTGAAGGTGGTTTGCTGTAGGTCCTTTGAAAAGGAACGGAGTCAATGACCACTGTGAAAGTGGTTTGAAGGTTGCTGTAGGTGCTTTGAAAAGGGCCACCCATGAATCTGGTACAGGGGCTGTAGGTGCTTTGAAAAGGACATGGGGTCAATGACCACTGTGAAAGTGGTTGGAAAGTGGTTTGCTCCAGGTCCAAAAGTGTGTGTGTGTGGCCCTATTCTGTGAGTGTCCGGCATGGCTGTTACAATTCCAATCAGCCTAGACATTGTTTCGGTCGGGCATGGCGCATATTTTGATCAGGAGTGGCACTGCTCCTGAGAGGGTCACAACATGTCACAACAAACTATACATATGTACAATAAGTAAATGTCAGAATATCATTTCCTTTTTGAGTGAGTAGGCCTTTCCAGCCATGGATTCGGGATGTGAACTCCCAGAGGATGACGATGGCATTCCCATGGACCATCTATTGGGCATGCCCCGGCCTGTACCTAGGTAGACCACTTTAATAAGTGATTCGAATCGTGACAACCGAATCGTGACTGATTGAAAAATAGCGCTTTCAACAATTCCTTTCCCAAGGTAGACAGCAACGAGCCTGTGGACCTCCCCAGTGATGTGGATTCTAGCAGCCTAAATGAAGAGGACCTGGAGCTTCCACCAGATATTGAGGATGAAGCTTTGCCGTGCTCTGTCTGCAGGGACAAAAAACCACTAAAGTTTCATGCCACTTGACAACCGCTATTACTGTCATGACAGTATTACTTCTTTTCAGCCATCACAGTGGTGGATTGTTTCATGAGCAATGAGTTTGATGATATCATGTCCATACAAAAGAACTGTGCTCCGGCCCTTGAATCTGACCCCAGAATGTCAATCGATTCTCGAAACTTTCACATGTTCTGAAACTTGATTATGTCAGATTCACCGGCAGTGGGCCAAATTTCAAGATGGAAAATTTGCACTGCGCCCTCTCAGGACAGAGCCTGTGCAATGCTGCAGACGACAGTGCGTCAACAATTTCATGGCTTCTCCAAGCTTGGTGGCAAAACAGCAGGAGTGGCAGGAGAAGCTGAAGACTTTAGCTGGCCCAGAGAAAAAACAATTTCTGTTCTCCATGGTGCGCAATTTGAGGCTGCGGGAGGACAGACCAGCCACACCAGGGTCTTATTGGTTTTTTGGTATTTGAAAGAGATGGTTTAGGCTATGGACAGAATTAAGACATTGGAATTTTAGAAAGAATGTAGAATGAAGTGTTGTTGCAGGATGGCCATATTGGTCAGCGTGGCCCGGGATGGAAATTTGCTGGGGAGCGTGTTTGCTTGGAAGCCTTTGTCAGAATCACTGGACTTTCAAAGAGATCTGTCAAGCGCTTTGCACAACACGCAGCCAATGGGCATTTGGAAGCGCCCCCAGATCTTCGACAAGACCGTCCTATTCGGGACAACCCAAAAAAGGACCATGCGCGAGCATTTTTCACCTATTTGTACACCCACTTAGCTGAACCTCTGGCTGAAGGTGAAGCCGAGCCGGAGGAAGAGAACCCAGAGGATGCAGGTGTCTTGGACGAGTTCGCATATTTTTTCAGCCGCCACGAAGCGGCTGAGCATCCTGTGGCTGCAGCAGCTGCTGTGATGGAGCAGGGCCTTCCTCAGAAGTGTCACAGTTGATTTCAGAAAATTGTTTTGTCAGTGTGGGTATTATACAACTGTCAGGTGTTGCAGGTCTGTCCGACCTAGTCGTTTTAATCTGGAAGACCCCTGCAACTGCAACCTGGGTTTATAAGCCCTGGACTTACAGCTTGTACCCTTCCACAGCTGTCAGGTGGCTGCATCCTATGAAGTTTGTTGAAATTTGGGAGATGTACAATTTCATGCACGCGGACTCGGGCACGAAAGCTGGTCGCACACTTTTCAGAGAGGTGTACTTGACAGAGTGGCGCCGTTGCTTGCGCATCCGCAAGCAATCACAGCATGCTGTTTGCAAAGACTGTGGCTCGGACTGCTAATGATAAGACAATTCGATGCTCTTGTAAAGTTTGTGCTTCTTAGACTTGTGTTCGTTGGTAGGTGCCCATGAAACCAATGCCAACTCACACTGTGAAAGTGTTCTTTGGCTTCAAGCATCTGGCTTCAAGCACTGTAAAAGTGCTGTGCAATCTGTAACAAATAAGAACAAACTGAAAGGCGCCATTTGGTTTTTAAACCTGTTGCAAGAGAATCATACCCATCCTTAGGTGCAAACCCCAAGCACCAGCACGCCGGCCACTGGCAGGCAGCAACTTTACTCAGTTGCGCAGAACAGCTACAAATGAAGCGGAAAAGGCAGCCATCACTGAAGCGGCCAACCAGCATAAGCATGGTGTGTTTCGTGACCGTGCTGTGGGCAGAACGCTGTTGGCCATGAGCGAGAATTCCACCCGCCAAGACACATGCTATGCCCCAGAGCACGGGGTGCTCTACCTGTCCCTGGATGGGATGGACCAAGTATTTGGGCAGAATCAGAATATTTGCATTTTCTTCATGTCTTTCAGTGGCCAAGTACCAATTTTCGACTTTGGTATTTCTGCTGTAATTTCTGTATTCTCTGAATTCTGTATTTTTTGAATTTGGCATCAAGTCAAGGCCAAGTTTCGATGTCCCCGCCATCACGACCTCTTGCGGTCCAAGGAGTCGGAGAAGTACTGGAGGCCTTCGTGCCATTTGGTGTGCTGCATTGCACACGGGGTGGTGGAATGCTACTACCTCATGAATGGTGACTTGCGCAAGGATAGCAACATGAACATCACCTTGATGCAGAGGACCATTGAGGTTGCGCAGAAGATCCTGGATGACCGGGGTGTCACCATGCCAGAGAACATAGTACTTCAGGCCGACAACACATGCAGAGAGCAACGCAATCAGCATGTGTTCCTGTGGCTGGCATGGCTGACGGGCAAGAAGCAATGGAGCTCAGTGTCGCCATTTTTCTACATTCCGGGGCATTCCCACTTTGAAGTGGACCAAAGATTTGTGGTTGTGGCAGCGGCTTTGGCTCGATCGAACATGGAGACCATTGAGGACTGATGGACAAGATAAGCTTCACCTTCAGATTCAGTGCCACTCTCCCAATGTACTTTGAATGGCTTTTTTAGTTGATTTAAATGCTCAAAGTGATCACTGTTTCATTTCATGGCTGATTGGCCTGCAAGGATTTTGCAGATTGCATCAAGCGTGCGGTAAATCCTTCACGAGGGCGGGATATGCATGTGGAGCATATTGAAGCCTTCTATGATTGGCAACATTTCCTCGAGCCGCTACGGATGAAGCTGTCAGGGCTTGCTATCATAGAAGGCGAGCCAGAGGTAAACTTTGGCTTCCGAATGGTGACCCGCAAGGACTTGAAGTTGTTCCACGGGTTTGACAAGTGGATCCAAGGTGTGGATGGCCAAGTTCAGGACATTGGGGTTATATAAATTGACATTGAGTAAACACACTGACACATCATAGGTTTTCAACTGACTGTGTGAGAGTTCAATGTGTGTAAGTGTAAGCACTGTGAAAGTGCAAGCGCAAGCGCTGTGAAAGTGCACGCCGTGTCATGTCCGGTTGACATTTTCAGAGGGGTCTTCGATTTGTCCCAAGGAGTTGCAAGCAGAAGGGGATCCCCATGATGATGATGTATTCCTGCTATGCAAGCATTGGATGCACTCAACGAACCTCACCCAGGCACCAACTCTGATTCTTCCACACCAACGCTTGAGCAATCTGGACACGGACAACCCCAGAAAGGTGTTGGAGACAAACCCCATGGGAGACCGAATGTTGTCAGAGCTTCGCAAGACTGCTGCTTTCATCAGACAGCGGCCTTGGGGTTTGGAGCGGGGGGCTGCCTACTTGGAGAAATTGTGCGATGACAATGAGTCAAGGCACTTGCATCGACCACCACCCTTGGCTAAATTGACTGAAAGAATTTGCCATTCTTGGGGAGAGGCTGGCCCGGCAGACTTGCTGAATTTTGCACCTGGCACGCCACGCCAAGTCACGGCAACTTTCTTGAAGCCACGCGAGAAGGAGGCTCAGGAGGAGGGCGAGGATCTGCCACAAGGGCATGGACGAGGGCGTGGACGAGCGCGGGGACGAGGGCGGGGACGAGGGCGTGGCCGATCTGGTGGAGCAGAACGGGACGCTGCAGAGTCAGAGGAGGCAGCTTGCTCTTGATTGTTCTAGGACAAGTCATATTGTCTAGTGTGCTTTTAACCCTTAAATTGGATTGAGTTTCTGGCTGGGAGCTCTGACCACAACATGAGGACCAATCTTACTACGTGATTGTAAAGACTGGACATTGAATGCTTGAGTGATCCTTTGTTTGCATCTTGCCACAATGATGGTTAACAGTTTCAAGCCGTGCCAGGCCAATCCTGCAGTGGCCACAGCAGCAGAAGTTCCTGCAGAGCCACTGGCCCAGGGTGATGAAGCTGAAGTTGAGCCTCCCGCCAAGCGAGCTAAGACCGCAGCCAAGCCGGCAAGCAAGAAGGCGGCTGCAAAGGCCAAGGGCGCTATGAAGAGGCCTGCTGCAGCAGCAGCTGCTGTTGGGGGTGACCCACCTGCAGACCCTCCTCAGCCTGCCGCAGCAGCATCTGAAAAGCCGAAGTATAGGGAATCAACCATCAGGCAACAAAGCCAGTTGGGTTGTTCCAAGTGTGTAGGGTCTGCCAAAGGCTGTACCCGCTGCAGGGAGATTCATGAATTGTGGAAGGCGCAATTTGGCCCAGGTGCAGCAAACCCTTGAAATTTTGGCTGCAATTTCCTATCAGCAGCATGCCACTCCTTCGGCTTTAATGACAACAGACAGGGACATGACACATCACCAGAACCCCTATGTACATATTATATAGCTTAAAACTAACCGTGTTTTTATGATCATGACATTGCTTTTAAAGTGGGTTGCCACGGAGAATCGGCTAGCTGCTTGGTAACAGCACGACATGCCTGGCCCGTTAGGAAACAGCGGAGATTTGGCATTGAATCAGCTGCCATGAAAAAAGGATGCATGCGGAGTTCCTAAGTTAAGTACATTCTTTGGCAGGATCATGGCATGTGCAAAACATTGTGAGACACTGTGAGAGTGTGTGAAACACTGTGAGAGTGTTGCATAAAGTGATTTTTGACTAGGTTATCACACTTAAATTGGTTGACCAAGAGTGAAAAACACATTCCTTCCCACTGGCAGAACACATTAATTTTTGGATGATCTTCGTAAAAAAACGTAGATTTTTGCATTTTCTCGATTTTTGAAAAATGCTCAGAGTAAGGACAGGCATTGTAGCTGTATAAATCTGTTGCTGATGCAAAACCAACCAAAACCTTACATTTTGCATGGCAATTCTGAAAGGTCTGGGAAAAAATTCGCGAGAGTTTAGTTACTTGGGAAAAAAATCCAACGAGTCAATGATTTTCATCAAGCTATTTCAAGGCCATGCTCTCATCAAATCACTGGAAAAGTCAAGTCTCCCAGCAGAATTTGGGACCAGCAACCTTGAGGATCTGAGGAAATCAAAAAAGATCAAGCATTATCGCGAAATCAAAAACCAAGTGATCTCAGGAATCAAAAACTCAAGCGATCATCAGGCCCTCCAGCTGGGAGACCACAAGATTTCAATTGAAATCTCATGATCTTTCTAGGTTTCAGCCCTAGGAAATTTGTCCCAAACTAAAATCCAGGCGATCTCCAGAAGCCTAGAAACCAAGCGATCTCCAGAATCCAGAATCCAAGCGATCTCCAGAATCCAG